TGATCCTTTACAAGTCTAGTTGTTAAAAACTCTCATTAATTAAATGTTATCTCTTGGAGTAGATTGTTGAATCTCTTTTAGATCTTTAGTTGATGTTGGAGTAAGGTATGAAATTAAGGGTTACAAACTTTAACTAATTATCAGAGAGATGTGTGGTATCGCGAGGATAGTTGGGTTGTAATCCACAGGGGACTTGATTAATGCATATCAATGTTGTGCTAAGTCCATACCCAAGTTATATTATATTGATGGTAGTACTAGACTTTCCTAGTTTAAATGACGACACGTGAGAAATTATGTGTAGGGATTGATATTTCAATTAGTTGTTGATCTAACAAACATGAAAGGTGTGAAAAAGATTGGTTGATTCAATAGAGTCAAGTCACTTAGACTGCTTATATTGGTGTAGGAGATCATTGTAGGTGAATACATGACGACGCATTGAGGTATATGCATATGATGTGGTGTTACTTGGTGTTGTTCATATGCTTTGATGATTACATGGTTGTATAGCATGGTTATGATATAAGTTTGATTTATTTGAGTTATTTGCTTTTTAAACTTGTTGATGCCATGTAGAGTGTTGTATGATGTAAGCCATGAGTTACATGTTGGATGGTTTTCATGTCGTTGTCAATAGTATATTACTCCCTCCGTTTTTATTTCATAGTCATTTTGTCAGTTTTATTTTTTTTCATTGTCATTTTACTAAAATCAATGACTTATTAATTTTTTTTCTTCCATTTTTACCATTGATAATTAATGTATGTTTAATGAACAATGTGTCTATTTATTTCTAATGTCTACGTATTTTTTCTCCAACTACCTATGTGAAGTTAATGTTGCATTTATAAGGGCAATATGTTCCCAATGAAATACTATTAAAAAAACAGAAAAAGGAAAGCTATTTACAAGACTCTTTAACTTTAGAAAGGGTAGAAGACTCCATGGATGTGATTGAAGACTCTTTAACTCTACAATATTACCAATAATTAAAATAATAATAATTTGTGAAAAGAAAAAAATGTAATGAACACATAATTCTATACAAATATGATTTGAAATTATTTAAATTATATATTTAATATCAGTGATATTTTTAAAATTAAATTATATATTTATTCATCTAATTTAAATTTCTTTTTTAAAAGAACTCATTTTTGTTTTTAAAAAAATGACCTCAATACCAATTAAACTTCATGGATGTGCCTTCGTACTTAAAACAGTGCAAATGCTCATGGATATGACATGTTTAATAGAGTAACATTACTAAAGATTAAAAGTTTACCTTTCATACCAATATACAAATGAGTTCCTTCATCCATGCTAACATCAGATGGCAAATCATTTAAATCAAACAAAAGTTGAGCTGGACAGGACGTTATTGGAGAATCTGGAACATCGTTGAGATTAGGAATGAAGCTCTTTGCAACATCAATATTTAAATCTGGGAGCCGAGGATGAATTTCTTTTGCACAATTTTGTTAACCATCTTCACTATCCATTTCTAATTGTGTGAATTCAATATTCAAATCTGGAATTTTATTTGAATCCATGTTAGTAGAGATGTAATTTTCTTGAGCTTAAAATGAGATATATATAGTGAAGTTATTACAAATCTTTTGGAGGGAAATAGTAATCTTTTGGAGATAAGCAAATTTTAGATCAATGCATTAATTCATGGACATGTATAATTAAATAGAGTAGGTTACAGTTGACATGTGTAATCAATGCATTAATAATTAATGGAGTAGATTACAGTTCAACATTTTCAAAAATGCAAAAAAAATAAATAAAGGGTAGAATAGGAAAGTAAGTAATAAATATTTTTGAAAATTAAAATATCAATCATTTTCTTAAGTCCCGTGCAAAACCTTAAACGACTATGAAATAAAAACGGAGGGAGTAATATTTTATCTATACTTGTTACATGTTGATTTTTTTTTTAAATTTAGTTTATCATTACATGTTTTCCCGGTGGTTAGACTACGATAATATATTTTTTTTATGGGAGTAGGACAATATTAGCTGGAGGTAAGACATAGTTTTGTGTGGCCATACTGATGATGACAGATTTGATTAGTTGAGACTACTCTGATGTAGTTGCTTTTGGTAGAATTGTTTGACCCACAACTAGGGGTGTGCAAAAAAACCGAACCGAACCGAACCATTTAAAACTGAACCGAACTGATCCAAAAAATAACCGATCCAAACAAGAAATATCCGAACCAAACCGGTTTTGAAAAATCTAATTAACCGAACCATTTTATTGAAACCGGATTGGATCAAAAACAGTTTTAAAAATCCATTTTAACCAAACATCAAAACACGGAAAGCAAGTTACCCAATCCGAATCTCCTACCCAGTACGCGGAGCTATTGGCTATTGCTGCGAAACATAGTCCTGACTCCTGAGTCGGTGAGTCCACGACTCTACGTCCCCAGACTCCCCACCACTGTGCTAAATCCCTATTTCCCAAAAGGCCAAAACCCCTGATTTTAACCAAACGCGGAGCTATTGCTGCGAAAATCCAAACGCGGAACGCTGTTGCTGCGAAAATCCAAACGCGAAACGCAATTTGAATGCCTCAAATTTGACTTGAAGAATAAAAAAGAATGTGGAACGTGAAAAGGAATCAGGCTAAACATGTTCACAGATCAGCTGGGTCAACGACTTGCATAGCTCAGACAATGATTCACTCAAATTGGCCCAATCATTCACTTAATTCACTTCATTCTTCTCGGATAAAATTGCCATGACAAAAGTATTTCATCTCATGTTCTACATAGGATAAATGTATTTCTTATATCAGCATTACAATTAAGGTTATATAGTTTTAAAATCTGGTTAAAAAAATCTGGTTAAAAATCTATTTCAAAAAACCGGTTTCAAAAAACTGGTTTCAAAAAACCGGTTTTAAACCAGTTTTAAACCGGTTTTTATCCGATCCATTTTGGAAATGGATTAATCCATAAATCTGGATCAGCTATCCGATCCATTAATTAGGTTCGGTTCAAAATCGGATCAGTAAACTGGATCGGATCAGAATCTACTAAACCAAAAAAAACCGATCCATGCCCACCCCTACCCACAACTTAAGATTAATATTTAGTGTTGAATTATTGTACATAATTTATATATTTGTGTAGTTATTTTATATCTTTAGTTGTTATTTTAAATTTTACGTGTATATATTATTGTACATGAGGAGAGTTCAAATGACACCGGTATAACTTTTACTAAGTGTTACACTGCTCAATAAATTTATATTAAATGTGAATTTTGTAAATCCAACTGTTAGATTGAAAGTTCATATCTCTTAAATCATATTTACAAAATTTTATATTAATCCAAGATGATTTGATACTTCATTTTTATAAAACAAAATTGACGTAATATATTCATTTAAAAATATATTAAAATATGAACACTTTGATTACCTTCAAGTTGTTGTTCAATTTTAACAAAATTTGACGTACACGTATAAAGTGATATGAACTTTCAATCTAACGGTTGGATTTATAAAATTCACATTTAATATAAAGTTATTGAGCGATGTAATACTTAGTAAAAGTTACACAGGTGTCGTTTGAAAGTTCATATTTAAGATTATTTGATACTTCATTCTCGTAAAACAAAATTAACGTAATATATACATTTCAAAATATACTAAAATATGAACACTTTAATTAGCTTCAAGTTGTTGTTCAATTTTAACAAAATTTGATATATATGATCTAAGAGATATAAACTTTCAATCTAATGGTTGGATTTTTAAAATTCACATTTAATATAAAGTTATTAAGCGGCGTAACACTTAGTAAAAATTACACTAGTGTCGTTTGAACCCTCTTTATATATATATATAT